AAGGGAAAATGAATCAAGGTGTCATTTTTTTTTCCTCTTTTAATCTTGCCTTACTTCTTTCTGCTCTGTGTAAGGTGAGAATCATACTGTTAAAGACCAGACATTCTAAGAACCATGTGTTAGTCGTTCAGCTCACTTCATCAGGGAAACAAAAAAAACCTAGGAACTGTGCGGTGAGTACATTTCTATCAAGTGGTCCTCACTGCCCAGCATAGGGCCTGGTGTTTTGTAGGGCTCCAATAAATATTTGAACAAGGAAGGAGGGAAAGAAGAGAGGGAAGGAGGGAGGAGAAAAAAAAGAAGGAAAGAGAGGCTGAAAGTGATTTGGGATTTTTTCTTATACCATAGAGCTCCAAGAACAGGGTTTTTGACAAGTACAGGATGAAGAAAACTAATGTATTAATATCTCAAGACCCACCATTACATACAGAATTTAGCAGTGTCTGCATTGAGAGTCATATACTTCTTCATTGACTCCTTTCATTGAATAAGAAGAAATGGAAAGAAATGGTCTGAGAAAACGCATCAATTTCTAGAACATGGTGCTGAGCTACAATTAACATAAAAGGTTAAGAAATAAGAGGGGCCATTTTTGTCTTTGGTAGGAATGGTGACCATGAAAATGTCATGAAGTTTGAGGGGGAGAACTGTGTGGTAGAAGCATAGGGACATTAACTCATCCTATGTAGGACATCGGGCAAGTCTCTTCATAGGCTGGAGCTGAGTTTTTCCATCTGTAAAATGTGGGAGTTGGTTCATATTAGTGGTCCTCAGTATTGGCAGTTTATTAGAATCACCAGGGGAGTTTCTGAAAGTCCTCATGCCCTGGCTATAGCTCAGACATTAGAATCTCTGGAGGTGAGGTCAGGGCGTCAGTGGTTTCAAAGCTTCCCAGGTGATCCCAATGTGCAGGTGACCTTGAGAACTACTGGTCCAGGTGATCTCTAGACCCTCACTACCCTAAGCATGGTCCTCAGACAAGTAGCATGGGCATCACCTGGGGTCTTCTTAGTATTCAAGATTCTCACACCATACTCCAGATCTATACACACAAAATATGCATTCTTAACAAGATCCCCAGGTAATCTGTACTGGCATTAAAGTTTAAAAGCACTGGCCCGGACACTCTTCCGCCCAGCTCTTTCTTCCAACAATGCTTAGGTTTTGGTGCTGATATTTTAATAATTTTTGGATCTCAGTGCCATGCACATTGTACATGTGAAAAATTTTATATGGGTGTCATGTATATATATTCAGAAAACACAAAAATATCCCATCACACCTGTTCCACACAGGGGATTAAGTGGAAATAGATTGAAAAAAAAATGTAGCCTTGCAAAAGGGATAAATGATTTTATGAGATTCTGATCAAAGATTGTTTGCCCTTTGTAGAATGATGAAGTAGAGGCCCCCGAAGAGCAGTTGCCAAGTTCTTCTTCAAAGTCAGCAGCGCCGGTGCAGTTATTAAAAACACCTGCCTCCATGTGGCAATTTGTATCCGACATCTTCTCACCTGGCAACACAGCATTTCCAGGTTCCTTCTCTGTTGCTCACACTACCTGACAACTCCTTGGTCCCCAGCTCCCCCCCCCTCCGAAATAATAGGAGGGTTGGCTGAGGAGGGTTTGACCTCCGCCAGAGTTTCCTGTTGTAATGTTCACCACCTCATTTAAGCTCACAGAAGAGAATCTGGCTCTGAAAAACAAAAAGCAGAAACAGTGTCAAAATGCTGAAACTAAAGCTAGAAAGCAACAGATAAACATCCATGCAAGATGCCATTTTGACCTCTAATAACTCAAGGCTAAGAAGGAAGGATGACCTCCACATTTCAGGCCAATCGTGTTTAATTAGGACTTTTTGGGATGGTGGTTTACTTAGAGGAGGGAGTGATTTGTATCTGAATGTTTAGGGAGAAGTGGCTGGGCAAAAACTCATTATTTTCAATACAATTCAATTTTCAGATATTAGGTACCTGCTAATGTGGTGCACTGCCCATATCCCCTCAGGCTTCACATTTTGGTGGGACTTTTCCTGCTCAGTATCTATAGTCCTTTGCCTGAGGGCTTTCTGTGGCTGGAAGCTTCCATTCTGCCCTAAGCACAGAAGGGCAAAGTCCTAGGATCAGTACCCTGATAGAAGCCTTCAGGCAAATGACTGAATGGAGGTGGGGTATAAATACCCCAGCAACCTCACCTTCTGGGTAAGATCACTTGGAGTTGCATGTTTTATGTCAGCTCCGAGAGATCTCCAGCAGCATGAAGCTCCAGTTGCCACAATGATAACTTAATATATGCCTGATATTGTCTTCTTCCCTGCTTCACTCCCTCACTCACCTACCTGAGGTTTGCTGTATCTCCTGAGTTAAGTACTTCCACTCCAGTTCTTGTCTCAGGGTCTGCTTGTGGGGAAACCAACACCAAGATAAATTTTATATTCCATTTTCTTTAAGATAGTCACAGGTATAGAGTTCATACCTTATATTCTTTTCCTTCAATTTTTTTTTTTTTGAGACACAGTCTTGCTTTGTTGCCCAGGCTAGCGTGAGTGCCGTGGCGTCAGCCTAGCTCACAGCAACCTCAAACTCCTGGGCTCAAGCAATCCTCCTGCCTCAGCCTCCCGAGTAGCTGGGACTACAGGCATGCGCCACCATGCCTGGCTAAGTTTTTCTACATATATTAGTTAGCCAATTAATTTCTTTTTATTTATAGTAGTGACGGGGGTCTGGCTCTTGCTCAGGCTGGTTTCGAACTCCTGACCTCAAGCAATCCGCCCGCCTCAGGTTCCCAGAGTGCTAGGATTACAGGCATGAGCCACCAAGCCCGGCCTGAATTTTAATAATTTTAGTAAATAAGTTATGGTATGAAGAGTTCATACCATATTAGTATTTTTGATAAGAGCCTTGAAGAGATTATCTTATGACCTTATTCAAGAGACTCATTTGATGTGTGAATCTGCCAAAGAGTAAGAAGATGGGAAAAGAGATTTCTGTAACAGCAGCAGAGCCCAGCAGGGAAGAGCCCTGGTTTCCAATTCTGATCCCACACTTGTTAGCTGTATGACCTTGGACAAGCTGCTTAACCTCTCTGAGTCTCAGTTTCTTGACACTTCAAAAATGAGGGAAATAATGGTCCCCATCCATAGAGCGGTGGATGTTCAATCAGATAATGTGTGTTAAGTGTCTAGGAAAATGCCTGGCACTATTAGGTATGAACAGCTCGATGATCTAACTGATGATCTTACTAACCAAGGACACTGAATCCACAGGGATGCCATTGGCCATGAAATAGAAGATTGAATTAAACATGGCTTGTGCCAATAAGAATGTCTATTATGGTGTACAGCAAGAATTTGTACCCAAAAAATCAAAAGTCACTTTTTGAAAAAGACACCTGCACTGGAATGTTTATAGCAGCACAATTCACAATCGCAAAGCTGTGGAAACAACCCAAGTGCCCATCAATTCATGAGTGGATTAATAAAATGTGGTATATGTATACCATGGAGTACTATTCAGCTCTAAGAAACAATGGTGATATAGCACCTCTTGTATATTCCTGGATAGAGCTGGAACCCATTCTACTAAGTGAAGTATCTCAAGGATGGAAAAACCAGCACCACATGTACTCACCAGCAAATTGGTATTAACGGATCAACACCTAAGTGGCCATATAGGAGTAACATTTATCAGGTGTCGGGAGGGTGGGAGGGGGGAGGAGGGGATGGGTATATACAACCACAACGAGTAAGATGTGCAACATTCGGGGTATGGACACGCTTGAAGCTCTTACTCGAGGGGGGAGGGGAGCATGGGCAATATATGTAACCTTAACACTTGTACCCCCATAATACGCTAAAATAAAATTTAAAAAAGAGGAAAAATTAAAAAAAAAAAAGAATCTGTAGCAAGAATCTTCCCATGCCTACTTCTCACATTTCATCAGCTAGAATTAAGGCATGTGCCCATAAAACCATGAATCAAGCTTCTAACTTCTCCTTGTCCATATTCTTCTTCTTCTATTTCTCACACTGCATCACAGGGGTGTCAGGGAATCATGGTTGTATAACAAATGATCACAATAAGCCTCAGCAGCTTAGCAGGTGCTGCTGATGTTAATTGAGCTCATTCACGAATCTCTGGGTTGGCCGGTATTCAGTGGGCTCCACTGAGTAGCTTTGCTTCAAGTTACAGATCTGCAGGTTGACCAGGTAGCTCTGTTCCACCTGTTCCTCATCCTCCTTAGACCAGCAGGCTAGATGGTGCAAGGTCTTCTCATGTCCATGGTAAAGGACTCAGGTATTTTAAGACCTAGACTTGGAACTGACACATTGCAACTTCTGCCCTTGATCAATGGTACTTGATCAAACAAGTCACACAACCAAGTCCAAAGCCAAGGTTGGGGTCATAGGCTCTGCCCACCCTGAAGGCAAAGGATGTGGATGTGGGAAGAAGAAGAAGGGACCAATCATTCATTCTGCTGTAACAAGTTGTCAGAGCAAAGAACCTGTCAGTACTCAAAAAGAATTCTCCGAACTCATATAACATTCATGTTTCTGCCATGAGTTTCTGTAGTGGTTACTATATTACATGCAACATCATCTGGGATCTCATGTAAGTTGTTGCAAACGGGCCTGAGAGATCACTTGCCAAATGACGGGGTTGCCCAGGACTTGGTGACCTTCCAGCTCTAGCATCCCAGGATTTGCAGTTAGTAGAAGAAAACCTAAACAGAAGTGAGACAGCGTGTCTTATGAACCTGCATCCTTGGGTTCTGCTTTGACGTCTCAACTAAGTTCTTAAATCCTCAAGCGCAGGTATCACCGAACCCTGGCCCATGCTGGACAAAATGGCAGTAGGTGGTGACTCTGACAAGCGTGACATGAACTGAGTCTGGGGGAAGTTTCTGGGTGAATCGTGAGCGTGGAGGATGAGCGGGTCGCGCTGGAGGCGGGTCCCAGCCGGATGCTCTCGGCCCGCCCCGCCCTCCCTCGCTCGCCCTGCCGCTTCGCCCGCAGAGGAGCCTCAGTGCGCCTCTCCGGGACGCCCCCAGCCCCGCCCGAAGCAGCGAGCGCCCCGCCCGCGGGGACCGCGCCAGGGAGCTGCGCAAGGAGCCGAGGCCCCGAGCGCCTGAGGAGAGAGGAGACGGCGGCCCCGCTGCGCCCCAGGTCCCGGCCGGCGACCTCCCGAGGGGACGCAGGAGGAGGAGGGAGGCCCGGCGCAAACATGCCGCTGCCCTGGGGCCTCGCGCTCCCGCTGCTGCTCCCCTGGGTGGCAGGTGGATTAGGGAACGCGGCCAGGTGAGTGTCTGGCTGGCTATGGGCCCCCGGCCTGAGCTCCCCCTGTAGGCCCCTTCTCTACCTACGGTCCCTCCAGGCACCCCCGCGTGTGTGGGTGTGAGTGCGCACGTGTGCCTGTGCGCGCCGAGACAGGGTTTCACCAGGATGCCCGGCCCAGAGCGCCCACGGGCTTCCTTCCCCGCGCCCCTTGGCCTGGGCTTTGCGCCCAGTTAGTGCCCTTCGCATCAGCTGCGTCACACCTGGCTGCGCCCGGCGGGCTGCGGGACATGGGAGGCTCTGCGCGCGGGCTCGCTCGGTGGTCAGCTGGCATCTCTGTAGGGGCGGGTGCGTGTCGGTGGGTGGGTTCTGTGGCTATGCAGGTTTATGTTTTCCACTCCATCCGAAGGTCACCAACCGGTTGTCACTCGCTAGTTTTGCTGAGGAAGGCGGGGGCGGGGGTGGGGGGAGAAACTGAGGACGCTACAGAGCGAGCCTTTAATGTTCTCGGGCTGAGCCAGCTGCGCTGCTGGCTCCTTTCCTGGCTGCCTCTGATCAGAGTTGATGAACTGGAAAGAAAGGACGCGCGGTTGTCAGATGACAGCCATTCTCATTCTTGCTGCAGCCATGCAGAATCTGAAGCCCTTAGGTTTTTCTGAGACCTGAAACTTATTTTTCCAGAGATCGGCCAAGCGCCTTACTAAATGCGCGCGCTTCCGTGGTGCTTACTGTAGATCTGGCACTGTTCAAAGCACTTTAGGACTATTAGCCCATCTAAAGCCCATATCTACTGTGTGTGGACTGTACTATTATTATCATCTTTGTGTTGTAAAAGAGAAAAACACGGCACAGAGAGGTGGAGTAACTTGCCCAAGGAGGCACAGCCAGTAAGGGATGGAGCTGGGATGCAAACCCAGGCAGTCAGGCCCAGAGGCCCTGCTCCTCACCAGTGCACTAGGGCAGCCTTTTGGCAAACACCCACTGGAAAAGGTTTCCTGGTTCCCAGGCTGTGATGGCTTGCTTCTTCCTGAGGTGTCCACTAGAGCAGGATTTTTGCATTGCAGCATTTTTGACCTTTGGGGCTGGACTGGGTGATTATTTGTTGGGGTGTGGGGTGGGGGCTGTCCTGTGCACTGTAGGATGTTTAGCAGCATCCCTGGCCCACCAGATGCAAGTAGCAACCCTGACCACCCCCACCCCCTCAAGTCGTGACAATATAAAAAGGTCTTAGATATTCATCAAGGTCCCCTGAAGGGCAGAATCGCCCCCAGCTGAGGCCACTGCACTACAGAATTTTTTCAGTGATGATTTCTGGGGAGAGCAGGATAAAAGCCTTGGTTTGGATAGGTGCGCCTATCTTTGTTTGACTTACAGGAAAATATCTTTCATCAGAGTCAGCAATGATATTAAGGGATTTTGCAGTTCAAACAGAACAAACCTCAAACCAGGTTCTTAGAATGTATGATCGCAAGTTTCAATTTCCTTTTCATGACAAAAATGTAAGCAGATACAATTTACTCATAATCACATTTTCCTTGAACGTTGGAGGTTCTTGTATTGCTAGAAAGCCCACTTAAGAAAGACCAAGTGCTGTTTAGAGATGAGATTAATAGTTTCTTTAGGGGCCAGCAAACCAACCTCCAGGAGCTTCACTTTCAAAGTGCCACCAAATTAAATTAAAAGCCTAAAGCCTCCAGATAAACCAAAGAATATTAAACTGGAGAATCCCTGTCAGGATTCTGCAATTCTGCAGTTTTCAAGATGTGAACCGTGGTTTCTTTACAAAGTATCAGGTTCATGAGCTGGTGTTTTTATTATCGGCTCAACATGCTTGGAAATGTCAAATGGTCAGCTCTTCAGGAATGCCTAGGGACCTTGTTTAATCAGCTCCAGACTCCACGTTACAGGCAGTGCATTTACAGAGAAAGCAAGGCACCCATTGCAGAAAAGTGTGCCTACTGGTTATTTCTGGAAGTTTCACAATCTGTGGTAAAAACTATGACTGCAAATAGAGATTTCTAATATAAGCACCAGTTGTTGTTTTTAATTGAAACACTGCACCATGATTTTATGAGCTAGAAAATTATATGCCTCTTAAATGGTGCTTAGCGCGTAGGAGACAATTAACACTCGTCAAATCAATAAATCATTAGCTGCATGCATATACCTGCTCTTAAACATCAGAATCTGGCTTACCTTATACTTCTTTATGCTCTTTGGGTATTAGGACTGTTTCAGTGCTCTAGACCTGCTCTGTCCAATAAAGCAAAGGTGGTAGCCAGGAACCCCAGGTACTGGCTATTAAGTACCTGAAATGTGGTCAGTCCAAGTTGAGATGTGCTGTAAGTGTAAAATGCACATCAAATTTTCAAGACTTAGCATGAAAAAAAGAACAGGAAATATCTCACTAATCATTTGATATTGATTACATGTTGAAATGGTAATGTTGTAGATATACTACATTGGATAAATTATTAAAATTAATTTTACCTATTTCCTATTCTAAAAAATGTGGGTACTAGAACATTTTAAATGCCATATAGTTTCTATATTGGTCTAGAACATTTATTGACCTGAGCTCCATCTTGAGTGTTCTAGATCCTAATACTGGGATCTTTTTGCCTTGGGCATATAAGGTAAGTGTTACTAATTTTGCTATTCTGAAGATTAATGTTTAGAGCAACTCCCTACTTACAACATATTTCTGTTATGTATTTTTTCTCTATTGAATTTAAGTAAAAATAGTGTGAGAGCTGGCGCGGTGGCTCATGCCTGTAAGCCTAGCACTCTGGGAGGGTGAGGCGGGTGGATCACTCAAGGTCAGGAGTTTGAAACCAGCCTGAGCAAGACCCCATCTCTACTAAAAATAGAAAGAAATTAATTGGCCAAATAAAAATATATATAGAAAAAATTAGCCAGGCATGGTGGTGCATGCTTGTAGTCCCAGCTACTCGGGAGGCTGAGGCAGGAGGATCGCTTGAGCCCAGGAGTTTGAGGTTGCTGTGAGCTAGGCTGATGCCAGGGCACTCTAGCTGTCTCAAAAACAAAAAAAAATAGTATGAGAGATGAGGGAATGATTGGATTCCTGGTGAGGGGCTGCCATTCATGGAGAGAGATCAGCTTACTGCAAACCACATGCTATGTGGAGATTTGATTTTTCTCAGAGTCCTGGTAGCAATGTGCCACTGTAACAATTAACCACATACTTCATGGCTTAAAACAGCACAAGTTTACTGTCTTACAGTTCTGAAGGTCAGAAGTTCAAAATGAGTCATGTAGCACTATAAACAAAGTGTTGGCAGGGCTGTCTCCTTCTGGAGGCTCCAGGGGAGAATCTATTTCTTGTTTCTTCCAGCTTCTAAGGATGCCATCCATCCTTGGCTTGTGGCCGCATCACTCCAATCTCTTTTTCACTTGTCACTTTGCCTTGTCTCTGATTCATCCTTGTCTTCTTCCCTCTAAGAAGCTCCCTTGTGATTATATCAGGCCCATGTGAATAATCCAAGATAATCATTTCATCTCAAGATCCTTAAATTGATCACATCTGCAAAGTCCCTTTTGCCATATAAGGTAACATTCCCAGGTTCCAGGGATTAGGACGAACAGTAGGAGTACTAATCAGCCTTCCACAGGAAACCCGAGATGTGAGTCTGTTCTTGTTTTTAGGGGCTAGATTTTATCTTTAAATGTGATTTTAGTAATTTTTTTTTTTTTTTGAGACAGAGTCTTGCTTTGTTGTCCAGGCTAGAGTGAGTGCCGTGGCGTCAGCCTAGCTCACAGCAACCTCAAACTCCTGGGTTCAAGCAATCCTTCTGCCTCAGCCTCCCGAGTAGCTGGGACTACAGGCATGTGCCACCATGCCCGGCTAATTTTTTATATATATATCAGTTGGCCAATTAATTTCTTTCTATTTATAGTAGAGACGGGGTCTCGCTCTTGCTCAGGCTGGTTTTGAACTCCTGACCTTGAGCAATCTGCCCACCTCAGCCTCCCAGAGAACTAGGATTACAGGCGTGAGCCACCGCGCCCGGCGATTTTAGTAATTTTTAAATGGTAGGCACATCATTCATTTCTTTATACTTAAAACCAGAATTTGTGAGAATATACCCAAACTTAAGAGCTGAGTGTTTCTAGAAAATAAAAATCATGAAATATCTAATTAAAATTTAGAAATAATTTCTGATCAGCCTTATTTAAATAGTTTCATTGGCTTAGAAGGTGTTCTAGTCTTATTTATATGTAATTTATGTGTATAAATCAAGGTTATATAAACATTAAAATGAAAATAAGTATTTTTTATATATATATCTTTTTTTTTTTGAGACAGAGTCTTGCTCTGTTGCCCGAGCTAGAGTGCCATGGCATCAGCCTAGCTCACAGCAACCTCAAACTCCAGGGCTCAAGCAATCCACCTGCCTCAGCCTCCCTGGTAGCTAGGACTACAGGCACACACCACCATGCCTGGCTAATTTTTCTATTTTTAGTTGTTTGGCTAATTTATTTCTATTTATAGTAGAGACAGGATCTCTCTCTTGCTCAGACTGGTCTCAAACTCCTGAGCTGAAATGATCCACCCGGCTTGGCCTCCCAGAGTGCTAGGATTACAGGTATGAGCCACCGCTGAAAATAACACTGGCTGAAAATAACGTTATTATCTACCCTTCATAAATCAGAATGGCATTCAGCAAATACTGTTATGACCCTATTGTATGTCAACCCTTTTCAATGTTATTTCAGTCAATCCTCTCAACAACCCTAATAAATAGGTATTGTGTCCATTTGACCGATAAGGGAATGGAGAAACTTGAAGAAATTAATTGTTTTCTCATGAGTTGCATTTGATTTGGTCTTCTGCTCTAAGACTAGTGATGTTCCACTGTTTCAAATTTATTTCTTCAAAAAAAATTGCATACAGAAATGCTGACATTTTTTCAAAATGCTTTCTCACAAATGATCACCCACAATCCTGCTTAGCCTGACTCTAGTCCCACACGATCAAGGGACACATGTGGAATAATTGCTCC